CCCCCCCCCCCGCCCCGAGACGCCGCTGTTCAGTCTCGCCGCCTCAGCGGCTCACACTTCACCCTGCGTGAGCCGTGTGTCTGGAGAGAGTATTGGCTCCATAAGACGCACTGTCATTTTCGCCCCCCTTTTGGGGGGAAAAAGTGCGTCCAATGGAGCAAAAAATACGGTAACTGTGGGGCGTAGTCTGGCCGCGCGAGTATATGGCTGCTTGATCCGTGAGAAGCGCCGCCGGATCTTACGAAATCACAAAAATCGTAAATGGGATCGCTACACTTACCGAAATAGTCCCGATCAGCATCGGCATACCTCCAGACATGTCAGCAGCTAAAAAAAAGTCCAAAGGCCCTAAGAAACTGACAGATTTCTCTTCGAGGCCTGGACAGAAGAACAGTCCAAAAGGCACCGGTGGGAAGTGTGTCACAGCGCCCCTATCACTCCTTCTCCCTGCAGCACCGACTCTGACATGGAGGAGAACGGCAGCAATGATAGAAATCGTATACAGGATTTATCTAAGAGACCTGCCAGCCCACCCTTAAGCTCTCCTCACACTAAAGCACCAGGGAATAAAAAACAGTCTACAGTATCTGGCACAGCCAGCCCAGTCATCACTCCATTACAGGATCTTCCTGCTACTGACACCCCAGCTTCTGAGAATTACATTAAAAATGTGTTACTGTCACTGAGATCAGAATTTCAGCAGGACATCCAGTCCTCTCTTTCTGGATTGCAATCCCAAATATCTGAACTGGGTTCTCGTACTGACAATGTGGAATCTCCCTTTAATGACTATGCCTCTGCTCATAATTACCTTGTGGATGTCTATTCTGATCAGGGTCATATAATTCAGAAATTGCAAGAAAAAATTACTGACTTTGAGGACAGATCCAGACGCAACAATATTAAATTTAAAGGGATCCCTGAATCTGTGGGCCCCACAGAACTGCCTGTATACCTTCAACAGCTTGTTCATGCCTTACTAGCTAACAGCTCAGGCCCTGATACGCTTATTGATCGCGCCCACAGGCTGCATAAGCCCAACCATCTACCGGCGTCTGTGCCCAGAGATGTAATTGCAAGAATCCACTTTTTTCATACCAAAGAAAGACTCATGTTTGCTTCTAAACAAGCTCCTGCTCTCCCAGAACCATTTACACGTGTTTCGCTGTATGCTGACATCTTGGCTGCATCTGCTCAAAAGCGCAAGGAATCTCTAAGGCACTTCGTGATCGTCAGATTTCCTACAAATGGGGATTCCCAACGAAGCTCCTGGTCTCTCATCTCAACAAAATAATCCCTATACTGACCCCGGCTGACGGTGTTCGAATTCTGCATTCCTGGAATATACCTATACCATGCCGACTCCAACGTCCCGGCCTCAACAAGCCAGGAAGATCCATATGGACTGGGCATCTCGCTGACTTTACATGGCTCTCTAACATGGATGAGGTTACCCATCTTCTAGAATATGCTACCTGATCCTGATCTTCAAGATCTGGCGATTTTCGCTCTCTTGGATTGTTCTGACCCCCTATTTAAGAGTGTGCCATGCACACTGTCAGGTAATCTTGTTTATTCGTTTGTTTTTGTTATTGTGTTATAACCGTTCTATTAGCTTGGTATCAATACATTGTTGTTTTTTTATGTGTATTGATTTGTTTTGCACGTGATTATCAACTGTTTTGGTCTATCCTGATTTTCTCTTCTGATGGTACTAAGCTTACGCTTTTCCAGGTCTGGTGTACTTTCTACTGCCTAAAGTTCCTTCTTGTTGTTCTGCAACATCTCTGGGCATCATGTAGTCACACATGTCCTTAAAAATGACCTTGCTTAATGCTAAAGGTCTTAACAGCCCTAATAAAAGAGCTTTTATGCTTTGGAAAGAGGCGTTATCCCTACATACTGTAGTGATGGTCTATGTGTGCAGGAGACCCACTTCTGTAGAGATAAACCTCCTATATGTAAACATCGTGAGTTCTCACATTATTTTTTTTGCTCTCTCTGACAAAAAAAACAAGGGTGTCATGATAGCCATTAAAAAAACAGTCACCTTCCAACTGCACGATTCCCTAATTGACTCAGATGGCAGGTTCATTATCTTGGTGGTAACAATCAATGGCTGCCTTCTGACCATAGTAAATGTCTATGCCCCTAATACTTATCAGAAAAAATGTATCTCCGCGGTAATGCGCTCAATTTCTGACATGCGCAAGGATCACCTTATCATTTGCGGTGACTTCAATGAGGTACTTTTCCCCACGCTTGACTCCTCCAATACTAAAAGGAAACGCAACACTTATCTCCCATCTTTCCTTCGTTCTAATGATCTGCATGATGCCTGGAGATGCCTACATGGCAGCGAGAGATTACACCTTTTTCTCTTATATGCAAAACTCTTATTCTAGACTGGACATGTTCCTAGTAGACAAAGTCACTCTACAACATATTTCAAAAGCTGACATTGGATTAATCACGTGGTCAGACCACGCTCCGGTTTCCATATACATATTTCCAGCAATTGCCCCCCCGCTTCTCCATATCTTGGAGCTTAAATTCTAGTCTCATTTCACATCCCGCACATAGCTTTTATGTCCAGTCTGAAATAAGTGCATTTTTTGACATTAATCCTTCCTCTGCTAGCAACCACACAGTAGTGTGGAATGCACACAAAGCCTTCATTAGAGGAATTTTGATGAAAGTGGGGGCACAAGAGAAAAGGAAACGTAACAAAACCCTAACCCAAATCCAAACCCTTGAGGAGTCTAATAAGAAAAATCCAGCTCCATCTACTTCTTCCACTCTACGATCCCTTCGTCATGAACTTAGTTTGCTTTTGACCTCACAATATGATTTTATGATTAAAAGGCTTAACTTGAAATACTACTCTCAAGGAAACAAAGCAGGCGCATTTATAGCCCAATAATTTAAACACCGGAAAGAAACTACCAGAATCCCTTACATTTTTCCAACCCTCTTGATATAGCCAATCACTTTAGTGAATTCTACTCCTCATTATATAATCTAACAGACTCTCAAATCGCCCTCCCACCCACCACCTCTGACATACAATCTTTCTTGGACTCAGTACGGCTCCCCTCTATTTCACCTGATCTAACGCAGTTATTCACAAACCCCGTTTGAGGTTAAGGAGGTTTTGAAAGTTATTTCGGACTTGCCCCTACATAAAGCCCCGGGCCCTGACGGATATAGTGCGGAATATTATAAAGCTTTCTCTTCCATCTTAGCCCCTCATTTATGTATTATTGCTAACGAAGCGGCAGCCACGTGTTCCTTCCCTAACGAATCCCTTGAAGCCACCATCATTACGATTCCAAAACCTGACAAACTTTTGGATGACCCTGCTAATTTCCAACCTATTTCATTACTTAACGCAGATGTCAAAATGTATGCAAAGCTTTTTGCTAATCGACTATTGCGGGTGCTTCCTGATCTGATTCATCCGGATCAGGTGGGATTTGTATATGGCCGACAAGCTCCAGGTGGGACTAGGCGTATGGTTGACCTTATACAAATCGCAGAGCGATCGGGGGAGCCTTCTCTGCTTCTTTCTTTAGATGCAGAGAAGGCCTTTGACAGAGTACATTTGGGGTACATGAGAGCTGTATTGCACAAATTCGGTATTGTGGGTTTTTTGGGCTCAGCCATTGATGCTCTGTACTCACAACCCAGCGCGAGAGTAAGAACATCGGGTCTAATGTCCACACCTTTTCAAAATATTTATGGTACTCGACAGGGCTGCCCTCTGTCCTCCTTGATCTTTGCACTGGTGATGGAACCCTTGGCTGCTGCGATCCGTGAGAGTACCGCTATACGTGGAGTATCTGTTGGCCAACAAACACACAAAATAGGGTTATAATGATGTAATAATCTCTATAGCTGATCCCCTGACCTCACTGTCAGAGGTTCAAGAAATCCTCACGAGATTCAGCAAAGTTTCCTTCTATAAAACCAATCACTCTAAATCACACATGCTGGCCATCAATATTCCGTCTACTACTAAATCCATTATTAGCGCTACCTCACCATTCTCCTGGGCTACCTCTCACACCCTCCCATACTTAGGCATCACTCTAGTGACCCCTAGCTCCAACCTCTTTACTTATAACTATGCTCCACTCCTACTTAAAGTATCAAGACTTTGTACGGAGTTGAACAGACCTACTACATCTTGGGCAGGAAGGATTAATCTTATTAAAATGTTTGTTCTTCCTCACATATTATATATGTTCCGAGCGCTCCCTATTGCCCTTTTGCCTTCTTACCTAAAAAAACAATTTTATATGGAATGGCTAGAAGCACAGAATATCAAGACTATGTCTTCACACACCCAAAGCCTATGCTGGTATGGGAGCACCTGATATTGCTAAATACTATAAGGCAAACTTGCTGGATCAAGCGAAGTTCTGGTGGTCACCTCACCCTGACAAAATATGGTCCCAAATTAAGAGTGATATCTTATATAAAAACCTCAAGCTTTTATTATGCTCCTCCCTTCTCAACAACCCCCCCACTAAACATTTTCTAGACACAGTCACAGCAACACTACGGGTCTGGCACACCTTCGACTCCCCACCACACTCCTGCAGCGAATCTTTTCTTAAACACCTACCTCTGCTCACTCTGGAGTATGTCTTAGACGACATGCACATGTCAAATTGGGTGAGTTTGGGGCTTACCCATTTACATGCTCTATATACTGATGGTCATTTATTGTCATTTGACGAGTTGTGCAGCAAATATAATCTTCCAGTTAGGGATTTCTACAAATACCTTCGCATAAGACATTATTTGCAATCGATAGGTGTTAGAGGGGGATCGCTCCTTAAGAGAAGCATACATTTTTTCTGTGCTAGTTCTTCACCCGCAAAGGGAATCTCCTTTTATAATCTTCTAAGTGAGCCCATATCTCAAGATAAATTACCGTCTATGAAGTGGTGGGAGACTAAATATAACGTTTCAATTTCCCCGGAGCAATGGTACAAAGAGATCTCATGGCCTTTTGAAAACATCGAGATGTTTGAACCACTGGGAATCCCTACAGAAAATATTTCACAAGTGGTACTTTACACCACAGAAACTCGCCAGAATTTATCCCTCATCCTCACCACTTTGAAATTGTGAAAATTGTGGAATTGTTGGCTCCTTGATACATATCTGGTGGTCTTGTGTCTCCATCAGATCCTTTTGGGATTCGGTCTTCTCCTTTATTTCCACAGTTACTCACCTTCCTTGTGATGGGTCCCCACAACTTGCTTTATTAGGGATTGGACTAAATGAATGGCCTATTGGTTCTAGAACTGTAGTCTCACACATCCTTATATCTGCTCGCCTGGCAATAGCGCGGGCCTGGAAACAATCGGAACCTCCATCACTCGGCGTAGTTGTACACATATTGAACACGCATGTCCACTTTGAATTTTTGTTTCCCAAAGCTAATATGAAACTCCGCACCTTCACCTTACAATGGGCCTGCTGGTTGGCAGACGCCAGATGCATGACTCAGGTATCATGACCCCAACTAATACTCCTAAAAGCAAAAAAATACTGCTTCCTAAGTATGTTTATCACTTATTAGACTTCCATGATCATCACATACTTTCTTGAGACGGTAGAGAGAACACAACCTCCACCAACTATCCTGTCTCTGGGCTACATATGGACTCTCTCCTATGGAGGTCTGTTTATATAAGACTTACTTTTTCAGTTATGTTACTTGCTTACTACCTGTTAATGCTGCAATATCACTTACTGTTGACTTTTCCCATACAGTTGTTTATTGGATGACCTGGAATACTGCTGTATAACAATATAGAATACTATTTTCCTTTTATCTAAATATATTATTTATGTATGTATAGCAGGATTTTGTTTTCTTTATGTATGTATGTATCTATGTTGTGTAATTTTTTTGTTTGTTTGTTTATTATTTCTGTTCTATTGGCAAAATCTAATCAATTCATTGTTAAAAAAAAATAAAAAATAAAAATACGGTAACTGTCTTGCACAATCATCCTCTTGATGCACTACTGCACACCTCTGCTGTGCCAAATATTGCAAAAATCATTTTATGAACCATTATTTGATGCAACTTGTTTTTTGCGTGTCAATTGCGTTTTTTTGTGTGTGCAAAGTCCCACTTGGGATTTTTTTTGTTTTATTGTTGCAATTGCTCCATCAGTTGCAAAGAAGGAGGAAGGAATCTGCAACAAGGTTTGCCAAAATCCTTGAAATGTACATTGATTACTCAGAGAGAGTGTCTTTCTTTCTCAATAGAAGTGGGGTTGCTCTCTAATAAAGAACAGACCTGGGTGTGGATGTGGAAGGTATTTACACAGCTGATGATCTTCTACAATGGCCCAAGGAGGATTCATCCTGGCTCCAGGTATTGTTTAATGTGTACATTGCATAATTACAAGTTCCTTGAGGGCGTGAGCTCGATGTTTATAAAATTCCAAAAAGACACACAATCATCATGTGATGGAAGTTCTTGTTATGCATCTCCTTCTTTCCACGCTGCACAATTGGCATTTCCCCTTTGCAGGTTAGGTGAGTCTGCAAGACCTCCATTCCTTATTATTACCAAGAACATTCACCTTGTGTTCCTTCTTAGAAGTCTATCTTGTGTCTTCTACTGATGACCTATATTAGATTATTGTTCCCCTGTGCTAGCTTCTTGTACATGCAATGTTCAGTCGGCTGTACACTGGACAATTCTGATATATGAGGAGTATTGTGAAGGTCGTTTAACTGAAGTCAGGGAGGCTGAAGCAGCAGACTCCGTCTCTGGGATCTAGTGACTCAAAGGGCTGGTGTTTGTCGCTGATGGTCCCGGGGCTGGAGAGGTGAGTGCAAACAAGTTCACATAAAGGAAGTTTAGTGTTAAAGTTACAGGGAAGATTAATATGCAGGTTAGTGTGATGGCTACTGCTAGGTTTACAAGAATGGTTAGTGTTGGGGGTTAAAAGGAGGGCTGGGGTTAGGGTTACAGGGAGATGTAGTGTTAGATTTACAGGCAGGGTTACAGTGAATGTCAGTGTGAGGACGACTGCTAGGCATACAGTGATAGTAAAGAATTTAGTGTAATGGAAGTGCTGGGGTTCTTGGAAGGTTAATGTTAGGGTTTCAAGAAAGATTAGTGTGAGGATTTCAGGGAGGGTTAATGTTCGGGTTGCAGGGAGGGTTAGTGTTAGGGTTACAGGGAGGGTTACAGGGACGGTTCGTGTTAGGGTTACAAGGAGAATTCGTTTTAGGGTTACAGGGACGGTTACTGTTAGGGTTACAAGGAGAGTTAGTTTTAGGGTTACAGGGAGGGTTAGTGTTAGGGTTACAGGGAGGGTCAGTGTTGGGGTTACAGGGAGGGTTAGTGTTGGGGTTACAGGGAGGGTTAGTGTTGGGGTTACAGGGAGGGTTAGGGTTACAGGGAGGGTTAGTGTTGGGGTTACAGGGAGGGTTAGGGTTACAGGGAGGGTTAGTGTTGGGGGTACAGGGAGGGTTAGGGTTACAGGGAGGGTTAGTGTTGGGGTTACAGGGAGGGTTAGGGTTACAGGGAGGGTTAGTGTTAGGGTTACAGGGAGGGTTAGGGTTACAGGGAGGGTTAGTGTTAGGGTTACGGAGAGGGTTAGGGTTAAATGGAAGGTTAGTGTTTCAATAAAGGTTAGTTTCAGGGTTGCAGGGAGGGTTAATGTTAGGCTAGCAGTTAAGGTTAGTGTGAAGATTAAAGGGAGGGTTAGTTTTAGGGTTACAGGGAGGATTAGTGTTAGGGTTACAAGGAGAGTTATTTTTAGGGTTACAGGGAGGGTTAGTGTTAGGGTTACAGGGAGGGTCAGTGTTGGGGTTATAGGGAGGGTTAGTGTTACGGGGAGGGTTAAATGGAAGGTTATTGTTTCAATAAAGGTTAGTTTCAGGGAGGGTTAAAGTTAGGCTAGCAGTTAAGGTTAGTGTGAGGATTAAAGGGAGGGTTAGTGTTAGGGTTACAGGGAGGGTTAGATTTGGGATTCCAAGGCCATCATCTACTACTTGAGTCAATGTTTGCTCAGAGGAAATGCTTCCTCCTGCCTGCAGTGGATGGAACCTTCTCGGCTGTTGCTGTATATTGTGATCTGTCAGGAATGTGTTCTTGTAAAGTTACAGATTTATTTATTACAGGTATTTATGTAGTGCCGACAATTTACGCAGCACTTTTACATAGCGAACATTCATATCAGTCCCTGTCCCCATGGAGCTTACAATCTAAGGTCCCTATATACCATGCATACATACAGGGCCGATTTAGACAGGAGCCAATTTACCTTCCAGCATGTCTTTGGAGTGTGGGAGGAAACAGGAGTACCCGGAGGAAACCCACGCAAGCACCGGGAGAACATGAAAACTCCTTGCAGGTAGTGAGTGACCTGACCGGGATTCAAACCAGTGACCCCAGTACTGCAAGGCAGATAACTTTGGGTTAGGGTACAGACACAGTCCACTCTACCAGAAATAACCTTGCAGAGGTGTAACCATGCCGAGGTGTGAGCTGTGTGTGTATACATTTTGTTGGAAGACACACAATTCATCCGTTGTCAGAATGATTCCAAGCAATAAATACATCTAGGGAAGATTTCCTCCTTTCCATAAAGCACAATTATCATTTGCCTTAACAGGTTAGACGAGTCTGCATTGCCAAGACCTTTCCCCTTGTGTGGTTTCCTCTATGGATGAATGATATTAGATTATTGCTCCCCTTTCATGCAACTTTAAATCTGCTGTACACTAGAGAATTCTGATGTATGAGGAGTGTTGTGAAGGATAAGAAAAACGATTTGTTCAGCCAAGAGAGGCTCTTGAACAGAGTGCAGCTACATAAGAGGGAGTCGGAGAGTTAAATAGCAATGTAAAAAAGATGATTTATTAAATATTCACAATTAACAAAAATTAATTGACACATAAACCGACTACACAGTTGATACCTTCTAACCCCACACCTTTAAAAATGATTATTGCAATAATCCATTCATGCAAAACAACATTCAAAACTTTTTTTGGAGCTTGCTGATCAATATTGTTTTATTATCAAGTGATTCTCAATTCCAGAGGACACAGCGCTGGGACTAAAGTGATTTGTGCTGGAAACTATGTATCCGATGCTTGGGGATTCTTGAGTTAACTCTTTCTAGTATTTTTCCTCTTGTTGGGGATGTCTTTTAAGTTGATTTCACCAGTTTACAAGTAAAGTCACTATGAACTGAGCTCATATCTTTGTTGGTTCTTTCTAGGGACACCACCAACGATATTAGAGCAAATACTTGGTTGAAGGGAACTTATGGGAATGTATCGGAGCATGAGAGATAAGCCCGGTGATATGGGTAGGCTGAATGCCGCTGAGTTATAGATACACTGGGGAAGGAAAACCTCCAATCTATGTGTGCTAGTAAACTCAAGCAATGTCTTTTACTCACGGCTGCTCTCTCCCTTTGACCCGGCAATCAGTCTCTCAGGGCGCGTGGTCGCTCGATGTTTTTCTCCCCTGTTCCGCTCGTTGTGGTGTACAGATAGTTTTAGAAAGTTCTTAGACGTATTCCTGTGTACTGAAAGTGCTTTTAAGAGGCGTCCCAGGTTCTGCTCGATTTAATCCCGTCTTGCCAGTGAGGATAGTTTCCTTATCCCGCTGTGTCAACATCAATCACTACTACAGACTTTTAAAGCTCTTCATGCAAGTAATGTAGTGTGTCAGTCAAGCATCCTGCTGTGGATGACGCGTTTCGCCCCTCCTCCGTTTCCTGGGGCTTCGTCAGATCCTAATGGGTAATTAGTTGATGAGGTTTTTATCTGTTTTCCCATGTATTAACTATTAACCCATTAAGTGTCCTGAATGGTTGAGCACGAGACAACTTTTTCACTTTGTGCATTTGCATATTTGCTTTTTGATCGTATGTAAAACAACAAGGAGGTTTTCAAAAAACGGTAGGAACAGACATGATCATGCCCAGCAATTAATTTCATATCATCAGTCATACTGTTTTAAAGTTGTAAGTATTGTTAAATCATGATCAAAGTGATGTCTGTTCTAGCTAGTAGTTTAACTAAGTTTTTTGGATGGCTTCTTGTATGTATCTTGTACACTCGACATTGAGATTATCTGGTACCTTACAAAGGGTAAACCAGCTCCAAGTTGACATTATTCATAGTTGAGTTATTAACTAATTTTTCATTTAGATGAAATAATTGGGTATGAATTCAATCATTTTTATTTATTATTTAGTTGTTATTTTTCAATTTATCTACTACTACCTCACACAGTGGCCGGGACCCTCCACTTAGATACAACAATGGGGAGGGGAATCTTAGTAATATTTCTGGGGGTTGCAGGGATAAAGGCTAGAGGAATACCTGTAGATTGCACTCATTGTTCAATCCATGTGGTATCATGGTCCTCAGCTTGTAGATCCACATTTTTTCTTTTTGTAGTAGGATTTTATTAAAATCTCCTCTACGTGCTGAAAGTTTGAGTGCATATATTCCCCTAACCTCTATCCCTGCCACCCTCCCCCCATGATACTTCAAAAAATGTTGTGCCAGAGGACTATCGTTATCCTGGTTTTTTATATCCCTTAGGTGTTCTCCAATTCTCGTTTTTAGTTCACGTTTAGTTTTGCCTATATAGGACTTTTTACAAGGGCACTTTAATTCGTAAATTACACGTGTTGTATTACAATTGATGAAATGTTGTATATTAAAGTTAGAAGTGCCCGTTGAATCTGTGAATTGTTTGGATCTACAGACAAACGGGCATATATGACAATGCCCACACGCAAACATGCCTTTTGGTCTAGTCGATTTGGATAGCCAGGTCTCATGCGGGGTGGGTATGAATTCCGAGGATACCAATTGATCCCTTAAATTGCGTGCTCGTCTGGCAGTCACCAGGGGGTAAGAACCCACTATCTCAGCCAGAATTGGGCACAGTTGGAGTATGTGCCAATGTTTGTTCAATGTTCGTTTGAGGGTATACCAACTCGAGCCAAATTGTGTAATCATACGGACCCTTTTATCTTGTGTATCTTTTTGTGTTTGTCTATTAATGCATTTAAGAAGTTCTTCCCTGTCCCTTTTGTTGGCTATGGCTAGGCTCCTTCTTAGGACTCTATGCGGATAACCTCGTTCCCTGAAGCGGTCATACATTCCTTTTGATTCTTTTTTAAGGATGTTTACCTAAAGCCAGAGAGGCTGGAGCAGTAGACTTGTGTGTGTTATAAAGTAGTTACCACTCCAAGCTCGCTACCGGGATGGACTACAGTCTCAATACAAATGAGTAAACTAAACATGAGATTGTAGTCCATCACAGGGGGGAGCTTGGAGCAGTGACTACTTTACAAGACACACAGGGACCATGGGGAACAAACATACTATATAACCAACGAAAGTAACTTCAACTACATGCTAATAATATATATGAGATAAAGGATGTTTTAGGGGGAAAATAAGCAATTAGCTTTAACTGATAACTTGGACACACACTTTACATTGTTTCGGTTATGAGTTCTTCACTAAACTAATTCTACTGAAGAATTAATTTTACTAGATCCAAGTTGTGAGAATGAAACGTTCCGGTGTGCTTTTCTTTTTGTTGTTGTAGATGTAAGGATCGGCGAGTGGGGGATGGTTGGGGGAGAAATACTAATTATTTTGTATACTGTGTATAAATGTCATAATTTGAGGCCATGTAGAATAAAGGGGACAACTGTCTGTTACTTGTAATTGATACTCTTGTGGTGCCACCTCTTTCCTCCTGACTATCGCACCCATTAAAGCTTCTTGGACATCCCATCACAAAACTGTGGGCATTAGTATGGAGTTGTCCCACCTACCGGCTAGTAAAGCCTTCACTTTTTTGGCAAGACTTTCCTCAAGATTTTGGTGGGTGTCTGGGAATTTGTTCCCATTCCAGGGTTTGTGAGGTCAGAGAATGATGCTGAATAAGAGAATCTAACTCACAATCAGAGTTGCAGTTCATTCCATATTTGTTCATTAGGGTTGTGGTCAGGGCCTTGTGCAGGCCATTTAGCTTCCTCAACACCATACTCATCAAACCATATCTTTATAGAGCTGGCTTTGTACACAGGGGCACAGTTATGGTGGAACAGAAAAGGGCCTTCACCAAACTGTTAGAACAAGGTTGGAAGTGCACAATCGTCTAATTATTTACTGTACACTTCACTAGGAACACCGGAACTCAATAATTGGTATAATGGAGACATTGGGCTCCATTTATATGGTTCTAGCTCTGGAGCGGGGGACCATTCTGGCCAATCAGGGGCATAGCTGTCAACATGGCATCCAATCAGCCTCAAACCACCTAAATCCAGACTATATA